GACCGGATACTAATGCCTTAGGCCCAGTCTTAGCCGCGCGCCACGCGTGCCGTGCCTGATAGAGACTAGGTGAGCTGATGGTGCCACGCGATCTGGCTCAGACTGGTTCGTGCGGTGCCAGCTCGCGCCATCGCGTGATATTTCATCACACACCGTAATTTTCAGGAGCCGCGGCCGGCACTGTTGGTCAATGTAGCATGCACTCTCCTTCATTCGTCTTGATGCACCCCACGCGCTTTCGCTAAGCTCCGACATGCCCACTTTACTTTTGGCGAGGTGAATCAATGCAAGGTGACAAGGATGTCGACGCGACGCTTTGCGGGCTGTTGAGGGGGCAACACAGACGGCAACTACCAATCCCAGTGAGTCCAACTCGCGTTCGGAGTCTGTTGTGTCAGCACTGTGGGCTGTTGCAGACCCGAGGAAGACGACGCCACCAATCTCGGATGACTACAGCTCGTGGACAGTGGAGCAGCTTTGAAATTAGTGCACGAGCCGAAAGCTTCGCCTCGGCAGGAAAACCTCTGTGGCTGATCGCGTGGAGCACCTGTGTGAGTTCGATGCTCTACATCGCTCCATGATTTCGGCAACCCTCGCGTCCGCTGACGATGTTTCGGTGCCGTCGAACAACTGCACAATTCGGTTGATGAATGTGTTTTTTTCGGACACCTTTGCTCCACGCTTCGCACGTATTGGTGACAAGCCTTCTCGCCAGCAGCTGGACGCTGGGGAAACTCATGGCAACTCCTCATTTTGGCGTGATGTTACGTCGGAGTTTAACTCGAACCTCTCCGACTACAACGATCTCTTCACCTCCGACGCGCGCCTTGAAGGAGTTGGTGCGTCAGTTGTCGTTATTCACAGTGCTACGAAGGCCTGTGGCATGTGAAAGGACGTGAACAAGAGGTATCTGAAGGCGATGGCAAACTTTACCAAGTCGGGAGCATGAGGACGACTTCTTCACCTACTGCGAAGGGGCCCTTGACACCTTTTACCTTCGCGAGTGTTTGAAGCACAAACGCGATCTGGCGAGGTTTGTCGATGGTGGGATTGTTCGACAAGGACCAGTTCGACTCGCTGAAGCGTGGGCGTAGCGATTCAAGCGGCAAGAAGCCGCCACAGCAAGTGGGAACGAAGAAGCAGCGTAGTGAAGTAGCAGAGTCGGTCAATACGCTAGCAGCGGCTATTGCTCCTGCGAGACCGAGGACAGCAGACGCCTGATGAGCTTGCACAAGCTCATCCAGCAGGTAGAGGCTCGCATGGAAAAACTACAGCAGACCGGGAAAAGTGATGAATCCCTTCAACGCAGTTTGGATCTCTACCGCATGAAGCTGTCGAAGCTGGAAGAGGCCTTTTTCGACGAAGTGTAGTTCAATGAGAATGTACCGACTTCTGAGCTGTCCGAATGGACATTAATAAACTCAGCTTACAACAGCTCACTAGTTCGTTCTCTCTCAGCGCGGCGAATATTGTACGTAGGTCTTAGCCGCTTCATTTGTCGCAGTTTGTCCACATAGGCGTTGCGGGGCAACTCCGACTCCGACGTCGGCTCCGGATAGACTTGTGTTGAGGCGTACATCCTCCGATATGCCGATGCATCGTTAACTTCAACAGTCAAGTCGATTATATCGGGGACGGGTTTAGATGCAA